GGTTAGCGGTGGATATTTACCTCGCCGCTTTGCGGCTCGGTAAATATCCACCACTAACCACCTCCACTTCGGTGAATAGTTGTTAACTAATTGAAATTGGAGTGAGTTGAGATAGAAACTACTTTGTAAGGAAATTTCAAACAAAAGCAGGTTTTAGATTTGTCTGTCAGATGTGAATTCTTCATTAAATTTTTCTAAGCCAAAAAAGAGTTACACAACAGTTACTGATATTGATAATTGAAATATTACCTTCACTTTGCCTTTGATTAATTTTTCGACCATGTTGTCAACAGCAAAGTTTGAAGGTGCACAAGCTAAAACCTGAGACATGAGATACATAAACTGAACATGAAATTCTTCTTCTTTTGCTTTGAATAGTTAGCATAGTCAGAGCAATCTTGACTTAATGGCAGAGGTGTTTTGAAAAAAACGTGCAATAGCTGAAATCCTTATTAAGTCTTACAGCCACTATGAATATTCTATTGAAAAAGTAAAGGAGTTAAGACTGGACAAGAAAAACTGGCCAAGAGGAGTGGGAAAAGGGATAGGAAGGCTCCCTCATAGAGAGAGGGAGCAGCCCTAGTATATACTCACCATCAAGGAAAAAACAGCCTGAGGACAATGATGATAGTGAATAACTATCTAAATGAGTCACTTAGTTTAAAACAGATTTCGTTTTGTTGTATCTAATTTCTAACCTACACATAGCCCTTGAACTTCCCATATCTAATTTTTAATTGTCCCCTCTAGTTGCTACACATTTTCATGTAAAGTATATACTATAGAGAAAACTGGTGTTAGACCCAAATAACTTAAGCTTGTGTGATAAGATTGAGTATTCTCACTACCTGTTGGCTGGATGATGTATGGATATTACAGGGGGAGGGGGGTAACATGATTTTAATCACCTATGGAAGTTAAAGGGTTAAGGGCTCTCTTGTGAAGTTTGAGAGATAACTTTCTCACTGCAACACTAATCTGTACAAGTTCAGCGTACCTTTAATCTCTCACTTAGAGTTTAAGGGACAAACATTTCAAAACTTCACTTTACCTTCATTTTAAGATTTTTCACAGCTTGAACAATGATCTCAACAACAGTTGTAGTTTTCCCAGTCCCAGGTGGACCATGGACTATGGCCACTTCTCTCTGACATAATGCAAACCTGACAGCTTGCCTCTGTGAATCATCAAGACTGTCATTGAAGAAGATGCATGGCATTTCTCCTCCTTCTACGAAAGGCTTGATTTGCAATGGAGCTCCAGGAGGTACATTCCCAAACAGTACATCAATCAAATGAGGAGCTGGTCCCTCCCTGTACTTTGTTAAGGTGTTGAGGGCACTAAAGCAGTAAAGCAAGAGTTAAAGTTACTCAACTTGTATAATTAGTTCTATGCCATGGTAACATTGTCCACTATGGTCAAAAGGTTCTCTTCTGACTAACCACAGTCAGATAATGCTTTGGAAATATAGAGACAAGTAATTAAAAAATAATACCAGAAGTTTCTTGAATTTGCATTAGATGCTTGGTATTTTGTTGTTGAGGGGACTGGGTGCTGGGAACTGGGGACAGGGGGCTGGGGACTAGCAGCTGGGAGTAGTGGCTGAGAACCTGGGGCAGAGGAGAGGAAATAAGAGGGAAATTGCCCTTTGTCACAAAGATAATCGTAAGAAAATAGAAATGAAAAGAAAAAGAAATTACTGGCAAACAGTTTTTAATAGTTTTCTGGTAAGTGTATCAGGATTTCTGCCAAAACTGCCACACACCAGCAAAGAAAAAAATGTATATCATGTCACAAAGCCAGATAAGACACAAAAGGATGATAGAATAATTAAAACAACAAAAACAAATAACAAAATGAACCTTATAGGTAAGATACAATTGAAGTAATAATATTCTGTAGAAAAATGAGTCTAAAAAAATTCACCGGCTTTGACAGGGTTTAAACTCATTCCTTCCAGATGCTAGTTGGGTACAACTACCATCTGAGCTAAAAAGCCACATATTTAGACCAAGGCAAAAATTAGAGGGTTCTTCGCTCCCTGTTGAGAAGTCACATTCTTTAACAACTTCTTCAATTAGGGTTCACCTGTGAGGATACTTTCATAATTTGTGCAAATGACATAGTTAAGGCAAATGGTGGCAAAGTCTGGCCTCTTATCTTAGATGAAGACTCTGAGAGTAAATGTAGCCTCAGGTAAACTACATTTACCTATACCAACTAATCATGAACATAGTTAGCTATTGACCATACTAGGTTATTTAATCACCTCTTGATTCTTTTGTGAGTTACGTCATTTGCTAGTTTGATGAGTTTAAATGGACCATCATCATCAAATGTGAGGGTGTCGGCTGTTTCATCAAATGCTACGGTTAGAGCTGTCTGGGAAACACGGCTTACAATTCCAGAGGAAATATCATTTGCTGCTTGATTGGAATTTAACCAGCTAAATCCCACTATATCTCCTGAGTGAAGAAAATTCGAACATTACTACATCCACTTAATTTTTGGCGGAAATAGCGGAGCAAGACCTCTAATAATTTGGGCTAAGGGCGTGTTTGTTAATAGTAAACGAATATGAATTTTCACTGCATCGGATTAAGAAACAATACTTGCCTGGTGTTAAGGAATGTGTCGGGAGTTTGCCATCAGAACCAGGCTGATTTATCTCAAAAGTCAGAAGTAGTCGTCCATACAAACCCGTCCTGCGGCTTCGGATTCGAAGTTTCAAGAGACAAACGCCCCTTCTTTGGAGTTCCTTTGGACTAACATTCTCTTGAAGAGATTTAGTCTCCTCAATTTCAGCTTTCCTTTCTAAACTTAGGAGGGAAATTGTCTTCCCTACAAATTGAGAAACGTCGGCCGCCATTATGGCTCAATGTAGTGCAGCGAATATGAACAAGTCGAGCTCCTCTGACAACTAACAATGCAGGCTCGGCTACTTCCGGTTCCCTTGTTCTTTTCCATTTCAGTCCATATACATTATGTAAATGATGAGCCATGTAACAACTTACACGTTCGCAGAAATGCAAGGTAAGTAATGAAGCTTGCAAAACTGCCAGTCTTCCAAAAAGTTTGGGAAATTTTACATTTTTGTTGATCACAAAATTTGCATCCTCACTTGTGAAGTATTGAAAGATAAAGGATATTTTCAGGGGGCTGGAAGATACTTCTATTTTTTAAATCGAACTCATGAAAGATTTGCACTAACAAGCATACACACTAGCGAACAATTCTAACTACCAGAAAAATTCCGCTATACCGGTTTGGGGTTTTCTGAGAATTGCCTTGCTATAGGTTCCTTAGTTCGAGTACTTTGCCTCTCATGTACAAGCTTACCACCACCCTTACTGAAATTTAAAGTATGCCTAGGCTCAACATTGATACGGTAATTGTTAATTTTACAATGCAAAGTGGATAACACATGGCAGTTCAATAAGTGTTTGTGAGGAGCTCAAATCTTTTTATAATTAACAATTTATTTTGTTTTCACAGCTTGCAGCCGTTTGATTTTGAATACAAAAAGATAATTTTCTGAAACAAAAAAGAATTATCCAATGGGGCAAATACGCCAAAAATTACATAATTGAGTTCTGTAAGCTCCCCAGGAGGCGACTGCAAGTCTTTTTTTTTTTTTTTTTTTTTTTTTTTCTAAAAGAAGATACTTAAAGTATTTAAATGGCATTTGATATTTGAATCAATTTAAATTCCCGTTGGATGTGACGCATGATTTGTTGCATAGTCATGCAAATTTCGCTTTTGCGTGACTCTAAAATGTGATTGGTTAAGCGTTTGCATCTGTTTTGATGTCCAAGCATTTGATTGGCTAACGATTCAAACGCAGTTTGTTTGAAAGATTTCTAAACTGTCGAGCTTCTTCGAATTACTCATTTCTTTCACGCGTATGTACGGTTCGTTTTGTGAATATTTTACTTCGATCTTTGATCAGGAATCTCGAGATTTTTTCAGAATTTATAATCACTTCGAAAAGCCAAGAGAGGGATTAGTTCGTGTTTCTTTACACTGGTAGCCGATAAGCGTGATAAGAAACTAACAACTCCGAGCAACGATGCATAGGGCAACTTCAAGGGAAAGGTTCGGTTCTGCAAAAGTTCCAAAAGAACTGGATCAGTATATTGTGGATCCTACTACGAAAAAGCGTTATCACCGTGGCCGTTTCCTTGGCAAGGTACATACAGTTATATAAAAGTATAACCTCATAAGCAACGCGAGCAAACGAAGGTTTGATCGCAAGGTCAGTCGCCAAGTATCTTTAAACACTTGTCGCTCTTCGTGATCTTTCAGGGAGGATTTGCAAAATGCTACGAACTCACCGATATGGAGACGAAGGAGATCTTGGCTGGGAAGATCATTTCAAAGACCATGTTGACGAAACCGCACCAAAAAGAAAAGGTGAGCAGTAAAACTATGGCGCCGAATTATAAACTTGTCGTTGTTCCGTTGTAAATGAGCTTATAATTGTTGTAATTGAACACTCGTTAAGCCTAGTTTGCGATTCGATTCCTGTAGATGTCCATGGAAATTGCCATTCATCGCTCGGTGGGACAAAAGAAAAGCCTCGGCTCGGAGCCGCACAAATAAATCGTTGGTTTTCGTGGATTTTTCGAAGATGATGACTACATATATATCCTGTTGGAGTTTTGCAGACGAAGGGTATGTAGTACTTTAGAGGGAAACTTTGGAGCTAAGATCTTTTCAGCCTTACGCATTTAAAAAATATTCTTTCCTATTAGGATTTCAAGACCTACCAAACTCATTTTTAGTGTTAGAGACGTTCGAGTTATCTACAAAATTTAATGTATGCAATCGAAGGCGGATATTTAAAATAAAGGACGTCGTAGTGTTGACACACAAGACACCTAAATAAGGCTATTTTGGGGGTATGCTAAAGAAAGTGAGTGAGAACACTGTGTTCACGGCAAATTGTGCCTTAAAAAATTGTTGAAAATTAATAGACGAGGTTTTGAATATTTAATTTAGTTGAATCGTCCACGTATTTGTTAGTTTAAACTCTAGCCTTTGTTCTTCGTTCAACGACTTTTTAACTGATCAAATGAATGGTTTTCCTGCTTGCTTCTTTTAAATTTGAATGATATTGAAACGCTTTCTCGATGGGAAATCAAAATCACTTAGCTGTAGGGTTTATTTCAGATGAACTTTTAAAGGAACTAGGCTCCTTTCCCAAGAAACACCTGTTGATACTCCTAACAGAGCTAAAACATAAATATTGCATGAACAATGAATAATAAAGGAGATTTGATACTAATGATGTAGGATAAAAAGAAAGAACCTTGTGTGAACTGGTGGTAAAAAGATTTGTCTAAGTTTAATACCCATATTGGGAATATCCTATTCTTTCTTTTTATGTCTTGGTGTGTTTTTGATTCTTTAATTTATGTAAAGTGAAACTCACTGAAAATTAAACAGGAAATTTGCATGTTCACCTGGTATCAACAACAATAACAAAAAAAAAACACCAAAACTGAACATTAGCTAAGGATTTTCTTAAGACTAGTGTAAAAACTAGTTTTAAAAATTAATTCAGATTTACAGTTTTGCCTTTTACCTCTGTAAAAAAGTATGTTGAATTCTTACAGGTATGCTAAGTGAAATCAATTTGTTTGATACCCAAAAAAAAAACTGCAGCATATTTTGCATTGTTTTTGTTATTACTGCAGAGGCACTCAGTACCCAACATTAAACATTTTATTGAATGTTGGGATTTTCTCCTCTAACTTAGGAAATATCTGTGCTAGATAAGAAACAAGACTTACTTTAAGGAAGCAATCTTTTCTTGCTTGGCTAAGCATGCTGCATTTGGAATTAGTTTTATATCAAAATATCCTTTTCAAAGTATGTTTTCATTTCCTTAGTGCATTAAGGAAATTAAAAATTTGTTTTATTTGTTGAGGTGGTTTTATAAACAAAAGAAGTTTTTATAGTATTTTTTGTAAACATCTTGAATGGTTTAAGCCTGTTTTATTGTCCTGATGGTTTTACAATTATTTCTGAGACACAAATTTGTCTACTAAAAAAGGTTAAAAAAGGAGAAATCTAAATGGAAGTTTTATTCTGTTCTTCCCCAGTGAGGTTAAATTCACAAACCATGTATTGACCAGAGTTTGTGAGAAGTAAAATATTGTTTCTTTCAAAAGAGCTGTTAGTTGACAAAGACTGCTGGCTTGTCTTCCATATCATAAGCTACCTCAGTCTTTCATCTCATTTTACTCATGTAGATGCCACTGAACAATGTTTGTCAAAAATTTTTACAGGAGTCATTTCTCAGTTTTTGAGTGCAGTGGAAAGCATAGTTATCAGAAGTATGAATTGATTCCCTTTTCAGAATTTGCTTGAGAACAGCTACAACATTTTGTAGAACAATTCTCAATCTTGTGCATAATCTGAACAAAAAAACTTATGGTTTCTGTGATCATGCCCTTGTCCCTTATTATTTCTTAATTGCTCTCTACTTTCAAATTAGTTGATAGACTGTCCTGGAAGGGAAAAAGCATAAAGTCTATTGTTTTTTTTATTTCAGTCCATGATGGAACTTCACAAACGTCGCAAAGCCTTGACTGAACCAGAAGTCAGATATTTCATGAAGCAAATTGTCGAGGGCACTAAATATCTCCATGACAATAAAATCATTCACCGAGATCTCAAGCTTGGAAATTTATTCCTGAATGATGAGATGGATGTCAAGATTGGAGATTTTGGCCTGGCAACCAGAGTTGAGATTGATGGGGAAAGGAAAAAGTAAGATACCTATTAAAGAAAGCTTCGAGCATGGGAACAAGATAGCTCTATATTAAAAGAATGAAAATGTCTTGTGGTAAAGAGCAAATGGGGAACAAATACAAAAATGTGCAATTACAAGCACATATTGAAATTTTGGTTTCCTGATACATGTTTCCATCATGTGATATCATGTGGTTGTCACTATCAAACAGTTCTCAAACAAAGATTATAACTTAACCAAAGTAAAGTGCACGCTCTGAGTGGTCAATTTAGCGTCCCCCATTTGCCCATGGGTGTACGCTGCTGACGTGAGCAAATGCAAAGACTATTTTTCCGCGCACGTTTATTTTTTCTGGTCACATTAAGATTTTTATCATTAAAGATTTAGAAATGAAAAGACTAGCAAAAACTAACGATAAAAACCGACGTTTCATTTCTGAAAGACCTACTGAAATGTTTTAGCATTCTGAAAAGGTGTAGTAACAAGTTCGATTGTTTGGTGAACGAAATGCTTTTCAGCAGAGACTTAAAACCCACTCTGAACGTGCAAAGCGATTCAATTCGCGCAAAATTATTTGTTTAATTAGCTCGTAACATATTTATGCTAA